CAAACAGCGATTCTTTTTCGGACTACTCTAATGCTGTTGGCCGCAGATGGCCTGTACAGCTTCATCGGGCGATAGGTAGCATAGTGTATTTAGTCAACGGACTAACAACTCCCTTCCTCGCTGAATCAATTACATAGACGTTAATATCCGAACAGATACGATATTGAAACCTTAAAAAAAGTATTTATTCCTACTTGTAAGGCCGGCAACGCACTTGCAATGGTGTTGCAGGTGCTCATGGCGAATCATTTACCATCAGGTGAGCTGCAGTCTCGTTTGTCCCCTATGCTATAAAAAAAGGTTTTTTTTTCGGACTACTCTAATGCTGTTGGCCGTAGCTGGCCTTTATAGCTTCACCGGACGTTAGGGGCGAGTGCAGATGGCACTCGAAACCTGCGGAAGGACTTATGGAGCGGCTGAAGGCCAACTCCTGCCTGACGGATACGACTTTAGTCTGAGGGCACCACTAGGGGTTCGAACCTCGGCTCAGGCCGTCGTATTTTCAATCCCCGTTTGTATTGGACGGGGGATCGATGGGAGGGGCAAAAAAAGGTATTCAAGATAAAACTCGTCAGGTCAAAGACCCGAATGAAATCGCTGCGTACGCGCAATAGCTAATATGGGGCCTCACCAATTAGGTACGGCGTCCTTGTGCCGGACCGTATGTAACGGTAACAGCATCCTTTTTGGTCACCGCTATTCATAGATTATTTCTTCTATATACACTTATTTTTTTAATTCAACGGAATAGATAATATAGAATTTTAAAATCATAGTTTAATGAACGTGGATGGATGGATTGTGTGAAAGATGATATGAATAAAAGGAGAGTATGCTCAGATATGACGACCGATAGAGAGCAGTGGAAGAGAATGACATACTGCGCCGACCACAAATAATGGGATAAAGGCAAGGCAATGACGATGATGATCAGTATTATATGTCTTGAATATCAAACAAGACATTCACGTTATCAAATCAAATCAAATCAAATCAAATATAGCTTTATTCATGTAGGTCCATCACAGACACTTATGACAAGTCAAATTAATCTACAGTATGATACTTAGTGTAAGTTACACTACTTGTTGGATCTAACATGACAGCTAATACATCCAGTAACAATTTTTAAGACTACAGACTCTTACATGACAAAAAACATTATACAAAATAAATAAAATTGTGGCAGTATGTCCAATTAATAGATAATTAATAACAATGATAAATAATTATAACTTTTGAATGTCAATAAAATGTAATTGATATATTTTGCTATCAAATAGAATTAATTGTGAAAGTCAATAAATTTATTAATACTTTAGTACATTTACGACGCATATAACATGTATTCTTAGTTAAATTAATGTGTTTTATAAATTTATTAATATCAAAAAAACGAATAACATCTTTATTATAATATGTCATATTGTATATTAAATTGTTCAATTTATGAATGTAATTATTTTGCTCTGTACTAAGATAAACAGAATAAGGGAGTGCACAAAATATTATATTTTTTACAGAAAGACTCAAAAGTAGTTCAAAGGAATTAATGATGTGTTTTTTGTGTATTCCTAGACTATTCCCAATTAATATTACAATTGTTGTACTTTTAGTAAATGACGTTTCTAATATTTTGTTTGTAATTTGAGTGAGCGTGGCACCCGGCATACAGTAATTAATAACAATTTGATTTAATTTGTAGTTTAAATAAGTACCCACATCTTTTCCAATTTTGTCTGAAAAAACTAGAACACAATCTTGAGATAGTTCAGAATTTCGTGAAGTTGAAATTTTATTCTCTGTTATATTTCGAGTAATCGGAATAGACTTACAATTAGACGATAATGGTAACTTATTACAGGTGTAGTCAATATTTATATTTTAAAAGTCTTTTCTAAATCCTGCTGGTAAATGGTAACCGTCCACTATGCACAGATACGCCCGCATATGGAATACTGTTCTCATCTCTGGGCTGGAGCACCACAATACCAGCTACCATTTGACCGCATTCAGAACCAAGCAGAATCATTGGTAATCAACGTCTTTGTGACAGACTCGACTCATTGGCTTTGCGGCGAAATATTGCATCTCTGTGCATTTTCTACCGCATATATCACGGTGAGTGTTCTGAGGAATTGTTCGGATTAATAGCTACTAAGTTTCACCACCATACCACCCGCCAGAAACTAAAATACCATCCTGATAATCTGTTTTCTATGCACATTATGTTAGTATTTACAACATAAATATATCTAAGTATTTATAAGTTGCCTAGTAGCCATAACACAAGCTTTGCTTACCGAGGGACCAGATGGCTGTGTTAATTTTTCAGGGTTATTATATTATCATCAATTAAAAAAAGCTGTTTGGTCCCTGAAACTTCAGTCTATTAATTCGACACTTGTAAATAATCTATACATATAAATAAAATTGGAGTGTCTGTTTGTAATATTGAAATAACCGTTTTTTACTACATGCATATGAATATAAATACGGTACATACACCAAAATAACATTTCTTACAATTTTTGTCTGTCTGTCTGTCTGTTTGTTCCGGCTAATCTCTGAAATGGCTGGATCGATTTTGACGGGACTTTTATTGGCAGTTAGCTAATGTAATAAGGAGTGACTTAGGCTACTTTTATTTTGGAAAAATAAAGATAAATTCCACGCGGAAGAAGTCGCGTGTACAGCTAGTTGGATATATTAAAAAAAAACAATATTAGTCTTAATGTTTATTTATGAACAATCAACTGTTATCCTTAATGCTATATATTTACAATTTATTTTCGTAAAATTAAACAAAAACGAATCTCCTCGAAATGTACAATCGACCGCAAAAGTTTTCATATATATTTGACAATACTATGAATATATTTGTACGTATTTGTAAATTGCAATGAGTTTCCACTAGAGAGCAATTTGTAGGATGAGGGTCAAAGGGTGATCAGGCAATGAATAGTTTGGAAACCAAATGGGTTATGGTTTTTTTAGGGTTTCGGGCTATTATCAGTTGCTAAGACTTCACAATGCTGAGATAGTACTGCCACCTGTTTAGATCTTGTGCTCGCCCTGTTTCAAAGTCCGTACCCCCCGTCGGGAACAGGAATTGAAGGAGATTTTTAAGAGCGATGGTCTGTATCTCCTTTGGATGTAGTGAAAGTATCATTACATAGTATAAAACAAAGTCGCTATCTGTCCTTATGTAACCTTAAATCTTTAAAACTACGCAACGGATATTGAAGCGGTTTGTTTTTAATAGCTAGAGTTATTCAAGAGGTATGTTTATTTAATACATGTACACCCGTGCGAAGCCGGGGCGAGTACTAGTTAACTAATAAACAACTAAAGCGAAAACAAACTAGTAATACACGGAAAACTGATTTCGGAACTGAATCGAGGACTTTTAGCGCTCGACTAACTAAACCAATGCGGTGTCATGTACATAATTAAATAAAAAAACATCGACGGAAGAAAGTGGATTGTCGGAACTTGAAATACCCAACTTTACCCGCCTCCCCTCCAGAAGAAGAGGGGGGAATGTGATTGTTAGTAATGTCGAGGAGTGAGTAATGCTAGCAATGTACCATGTCAGGTTGGGCTAACTGACCTGACCTCATATTATCATGAGTTCATATTATCATCCTTCACTGGTGCCCCGCCAGCGTAAAAGTAGCTCAGATGGGGCACCATTCCGTTATCATCCATTAAAAAAAAATCTTCAGATACAAAAGAAAATCAAATTTTCACAACACATATATTTATAAAGATAGAAAGTTAAAAATTCATTCACAAACTGGAAATTCACAAAAAACTGCCTAACAGGAATTGAATCCTGAGCTTTCACTGCTACAAATAACTAAACCAATCGGTAACTCATATATTTATCGAGAAACACCGTTGTTGTTACATAGTATAAAACAAAGTCGCTGTCGCTTCTGTCCGTCCGTATTTATGCTTAAACCTTTAAAACTACGCAATGGATTTGGAAGCGTTTTTTTTTAAATAGATAGAGTGAATCAAGGTTTATATATATAATACATGTACACCCGGGTGAAGCCGGGGCGAGTAGGTAGTGTTGAATAAAATGTTGAAAAAAATTGCGTTAAATACATATCAATTTTCATATTTCTATCCTGATAAATATGTGATAAGAATTTCTGAAATAAAAGAATCTGAATAAACTTTTGTAAAGTTGAGTTTTTCACTTTACGACAAATCCGCTTTCTTCTCTCGATATATGTTAAAAATAAGCAACAATCTATTGACTTAACCTTAAAGTTAGGTCTATAAAATTGCAATTGGAAACTTAGTTAACTAGTGTGGTATTAGGCTGTTCAAGTATTACGTAAGCACTATGGGGGGGGGGGGGGGGGGGGGGGGTATTTGCTTGGCTTATTTTGGATGACATGGGGGTGGGGGAGTCTAGATGATGATTACGTCATCGTTATTTTCTTTTTTACACAAATGGCAACCCTCACATTGTCTTTGCTAAAAAAAACAATACATTAATCGAAAATGTTTATGTCAGCATGAGGGGAGGGGGTAAAAGCTTTGCTTACTTTTGCTGATAGGGGGTGGGGGGGGGAATAATTGTAAATCTGCTTACGTAATACTTGAACGGCCCGTATGAGACAGTCTCTGACGATTATTTTTTTATCATTAATCGGAGTAGGTAGAGTTATTTTATGTAGTTGCCATATGATACAATAATGTGGATATTCCCCGAATCCCAGGATATATTTTTAAGTAGAAAAATAATAAGTTATTTACGCCTTACGGAGATTACTCTCCAAGACGTTTATAGATTTTTATTGATTTATTTAAACACAGAGAGCGCGATTTACCAAGGTACTTTCGATAAACAATTGTATTCCAATGGTGCAGAAAGAGACAAAAACAGGTGACACTACCTGTACGTGTGAGGGAGAACGCAATATGCAGCGACATTATGAGTTTTTTTTCGTACTCTTGGCAACACAGTGCCAAGAGTCTTTAGGTATTATATTATTTTATTCTATAATATTTATTGCTATTAAATTTATTATATATCAATCGCTTTATTCTTAAGAGGAATTCTTTTCAAAATATTTAGATGTGCCTGCAACTGTGTAAAACTTTAGTAGTTTTAACTTGAAGCACGACATGCTGTTGGCCGCAGATGGCCTTTACTGACTGTAACCGGACGATAGAGGGCGAGTGCAGAGGGAACCCATATCAACATCAATGTTTGAGATCAATGATCATAAACTTTACCTACTTCGATCAGTTATTATGCATACTTTGAGTATATCACAATATTCACTATTCTAATTCCATGGCGTTCTTCATGTAATTGTCAAGTTCTTTGTCCAGGGCTGACTTGGTGCCGGCCATGTACTGGTCTAGTTGGGCATCCAACTCCTCTTTCGTGGGGACGGGTTTTTGGACTTGATTCCTAACTACACCTCCTGGAAAAGTAATAATAATCATTACATAGTATAAAACAAATTCGCTGTCGTTGTCTGTCCGTCCCTATGTATGCTTAAATCTTTAACACTATGCAACGGATTTTGAAGTTTTTTTTTAATAGATAGAGTGATTCTAGAGGAAGGTTTATATATATAATACATGTACGCCTGGGCGAAGCCGGGGCGACTATCTAGTAATATATAAATAACCCTGGAAAATTAACACAGCGCCATCTAGTCCTAAGTTAAGCAGAGCTTGTGTTATGAGTACTAGACAACTTATATGAATACTTAGATTTTTTTGTAAATACATACATAATGTACATAGAAAACACTCAGATCGCTACAAACAATCATACTCATGAATACAAATTTTCACACCGTGCGAGGAATCGAACCCGCAACCATTGCAGGTGGAGGGATAAACAATAGACATCTATGGTCGTCAATATTGAACCATCCGAGCATTTTTACAAGTTTATAGTTTTTGTCGAAAAACGTGATTTTTTATATTTCTAGACCCGGGGGTATTCGGGTCATTTTGACTAACAGTTGAAAGGTTAATAAAAAAAATACCTCTGCCCCTGGCGCGGCCCCGGTTGGCTCGTGGAGGTCGCAGGGGCTGCGGTCGCGGCCGGCCAGGCCTCCACGCGCGCCCCCCGCCCTGACGAGCGCCCCTGGGGACACAATAACTTACATTACCAACTTGGAAACATTTAAACACTCAATGATCAAATTAAATACTCAATAATCCTCAATGAAGGGTTGAAGGGGATTTTTTTGTAATTAAAATGGCAGTTAATTAATCACAGCTGAGGACTTTTAAAATATATATATATATTTACTAGCCCGGAAAACGTTGTTCTGCCTTAAAATAAAAAAAAAATTAGGGGTGGACTACCCCTAACATTTAGGGGGATGAAAAATAGATGTTGGCTGATTCTCAGACCTACTCAATACGCTCACAAAATTTCATGAGAATCGGTCAAGCCGTTTCGGAGGAGTATGGGAACGAAAACTGTGACACGAGAATTTTATATATAAGATTATAATATATTTATTGATTATATCTACACCATTGGCAGCTCAGCCACGGAGGCCGATTCTTACAATTATGTTAAAATATAATATCATATAATAATATCACATAATGATAATGATAACAGGGATGAATGGAAGCGAAAAACATATTACGCCGACCCCAAATAAATGGGATAAGGAAGAAGCAGATGATGATGATAATAATATATTTAATAGGAAAGTGCTGCATCGTCAGCGAAATTGCACGTGGAAGAATTTGTAGCTAACAGTGCAGCCTAAATGACGTTTTCATTTTTTTTTTATACTATGATGTTGTCAATCAAGCATACGGCCCATCTGATGGTAAACGGTTACCGTAGCCTATGAACGCCTGAAACACCAGGTGTATCACTTGCGCGTTGCCGACCCTTAAGAAACCTTAATATACCCTTCTTGAAAAACCCCCATGCTGTAGTCTCGTGGGAAAACCTCGGCAGGAAGTTCATTCCACAATCTAAGTGTACGCGGGAGGAAACTCCTCTGAAACCGCACTGTTCAGGACCACTTAGGTTCCAGCGTGTGGGGATGAATTCCCTGTCGATGGCGAGCGGTGCGGTGGTAAAAGGTGGCTGTCGGCATCATGTCGAACAATTCCTCAGAACACAGTCCGTTGTACAATCGGTAGAACACACAAAGTGAAGCGAAGTCTCGCCTCAAGCTAAGTGGCTCGATACCGCCAGAGAGATTGGGATCATCGACAATTCTCATAGCACGTCTCTGAACCGAGTCAAAAGGACCGAGCTGGTATCCAGGTGCTCCCGCCCAAGATTAAAATTTCATTGTAAAGAGTATTTCATACTGTCATATGTACATTCATATAACATATTATTTTACTTAATAATTATTGTCATGTATATATATTACATATATTGTCTAGGATGACATCTGGAACTCCTTATGGTTATATAGAGAAAGTCTTTTTTGTTGAATACAAGATTTATTAAATCATTCAAAAATCATTTTTTTAAATGTAGGACATTTTAGCCGCTTATGAACGTCAAGTTTTACATTATAATTTTTTTTCCCTACCGTCCAGTTCGGTATATAGATCCAATTGAGAAGAACTGGGAAGAAACTCAATTGAATTACTTTTTTTTTAAATCCATTTTATTTACAACGCATAGGTATTTATATAGGTGTCTATGTCTAACATTAAATGAAAATCCCGAACATGAAAACTATTGCCATGCACGCTCGTCATTCAAGTAATCGTTTAGTGATTAATAGGCCTTGCTCAGTAAATATGATTTAACAATTTAGTTTAGTAAATTGTTTTACAATTTATGTAACTTAAATCATCAACTGCTTCTTCCTTATCCCATTTGTTTGTGGTCGGCGTAATATGTTTTTCGCTTCCATTCATACCTGTTCGCAGTCATCGCGTTATTTACTTCCTTTCTTACCATATCATCTTTCACACAGTCCATCCATCTCTTTTTCGGCCTTCCTCTGCCCTTATAACCATGTGGTCAGGTAGGGAAAAAATATTAATACAAAAAAGTTGAAGTTCACATGCGGCTAAAATATCCTGTATGAATAAATGATTTTTGATATACATTCAATTAGATTTTTTTTATAGATAATGGAACGGTGCACCCGTCTGCGCTAACGGTTTACACTGGTAGAGCACCAGTGGAGGATGATAAGATGAACATGAGGTCAGGCTCAGTTAGCCCATTGTGACAAATTCACCAGGAATTTATCATGATTTCCAGGGAGGACCGTGTGGAGGTCAATCTGACATGGTACATTGCTAATAATGGTGATGGGTTATGAGTACATATTACTAACAATCCCTTTGAGGTATCTCAAATCGAATGGGGGGGTATTCGATTTAAGATACCTCAGACAAAAATATTGCTTAAACAAAACCCCCGTCCAATTCAAACGGGGATCGATATTACGACGGTTTGAGCCGAGGTTCGAGCCCCTAGTGATGCCCTCAGACTAAAGTCGTATCCGTCAGGCGGGAGTTGGCCTTCAGCCGCTCCATAAGTCTTTCCGCAGGTTTGGAGTGCCATCTGCACTCGCCTCCTCGTCCGCTGAAGCTGTAAAGACCAACTGCGGCCAACAGCATTAGAGTAGTCCGGAAAAAAAGATTGCCCGCCCACTGTGGCTCAGATTGGCAAAAGATAAACAGATGGAAAACATTGGAGGAGGCATTTGTGTCAAAAAGGAAAAGTTGGCGCAAGAAATTAATCATCAATAAAAAAAACCAACCTGAGACGACCGCGAAGCATGCGGTTGGGTCCACCGCGGCGCCGGAGTCCCCTCCACGCGCCCACAGATGCTAAGTTGCTGAATGATGCTGATCGACTGTAAATTAATTTAAGACAAGATGAGCTCACAGACTTATAATAATAAATATAAGGCCAATTCACACAGCGCCATCTAGTCCTAAGTTAAACTAGCTAAAGCTTGTGTTATGGGTACTAGACAACTGATACAAGTACATAGATATTTTTTTGTAAATACACACATATTATAGAAAACACCCAGACGGATACAAACAATTGTACCCATAAATACAAATGTTTGTGCTGTGCGAGGAATCGAACCCGCAACCATCGGACATAAAGCGGTGTGCTAAACCGCTAGAATAGAATAGAATAGAAAATCATTTATTCAAATAAACTTAATTTAAGCACTTTTGAATAGTCAACAGTTTTTTAAATCTACCGCTTATTCGGAAACCTGTCTCATCACAAGAATAAGCAAGAAACTTGTGTGTTGCTCCTTGAATATGTTGATAAAATTGAAAAATCGATATTTTTAAATATTTTATATGTACTATTGTATTTTGAAGTAATATGAATAAATTCATTACAAACCTCAGATTCCCATTAGACTGCCTCCAGGAGACTCTGTCCTTTATACTGGCTTGGGAGAGGTTACCAAAGCTATTGGAGCGCCGTAACCCTGGCAGGCTGCTCTCACTGCCAAACCTTCGTAAACCACCAAGACGCTGTTGGATTGCCTGCTGAAATAAATATGATAATTATAACCCAAGACAACTAAGAGACTTCTGAGTTCAGTTTGGCTGACTTCTTTGTAGTCTCGGCTCTATATGAACAACAGCTCAGATGAGAGGCTGTGTGGAGTATAGAATCTACATTATATTACATTACAGTTTAAACAGTGCCATGTAGTACCAAGCTAAGCAGAGCTTGTGTTATGGGTACTAGACAACTGAAAACTCCAAGACCAATAGAAACAATTATATTAATGAATACAAATGTACTATTCAATGAATTGAACCAGCAACTGTCAGGAAGTAAGGTGTGTGTTAAATCGTCAGATCGCAGGGGCCGTCAAAGTAGATATTTTATATTTTGTAGCTTGTCTAGTATATAGATAGATGTAGAAAATATGAATATCTTCAACACACACAATGAAATAAATGTGCCAGTGTGAGTGATAAAATGGAAACTATTTATGCTTTTCCACAACATTATTATGTAATATTATTAATAACTTACTGTTTTACCCTCAATAGGCCAAAACACTAGTTTCATGTCACAAATTAATCTTACAAAATTACCATTACTTGGGCTGTATGCTTGTATACCTTATTACTTTATTGGTAAAAAAAATGTTTCATTATCAAAATCTGTTCTATAGACAATGATTTTGCAACATATAAAGATTGCAAAGTTGATACTTATAAGATAGACCAAAACATGATATCAAATTGAAATATAAATTATAATATCGAAATAAAAGACTAAGAAACAGTAAGAAAAATATTATACTTAATTAAAAAACCTACCCTTTTAGCTTGCTGTTCCAACCGGCGCGCTATCTGCTCTATGAAGTTTTTATTCTTATAGTTAAAGTTCTGGTTTTGAGCGAAGTATGAAGCCGCGCTTGGGCGTCTTCGTTGCCTCATAGGAACACGATTCGGTGTTACTGAGGCTAGAAGTGTAAACCGATCGTTCAAGCTCATAGTGGTGGCCTGAAGACCGTGGACTTTTTCTATTACCATGTTGCCGACTACGGGTAAATTAGAAATTAGAAAACAAACAACGCAATATGTAAACACTAATGCATTTGAAAAGTATGACTGGAACGGTGTAGTAAAACGTTAAATTCATATACGATTTAAATACGTAAGAACACAAATTCAGAGAAATTTGATATTATTTATAAAATGTCAAGTAAAATGTGAAATACAATATTCACATTCGCGGCTTGCTATGTTTCACAGATTACAGAAACTTAAACTTCCTGCATGACACTTCTCAGCTGTCTGTGCCAATTTTCTACAGAATAAAAGTATTATGACAGTTTGAATGATAGTGTATAAATCGTTGTTATGCGGTCTTTTCATTACAATATTTATGTATTGATGGCGAAATAAAATAATAATGCTACATTTTCAGTTTTCAACATATCATTTTTTGACATATCGTATTTATTTTTCTATATTCAAAATTCACAAATCATGTAGGATATTTTAACCGCTTATGAACGTCAATTTTTTCCCTACCATATATAAAAGAAGAAATGTAGACTGCCAGTAACTGTCAATTTGCAACAGATAGTATAAATGCGAAATTTATTTTGAAAGTAACAAAGTGCCAGTTCGGTGTAGTATTTCACTTTCTTCAATCAAAATAAAATTTTTGTTAAACCAAAATTTAATGTTTTCCATATGGCATGCTATTTCTGACATTGATGTTAATATTCTTCATGTCATTTCATCTGTCAAATGCTGTCAATGTCAGTCATATTTATTTCGGCGAATTGTTTTGATTTTCTTCAGGATTTCATAAGATAACGCAATGGAATTCTAAAATAATATATTACTAACACTACATATTGTCCTTAAATATATAGAAGAAGTGATGTTTGATTCTAAAAAAATCCCTTCTTAGTCAGTTTTTTTGTGTAATATCAATAATAAACTTCCCAAAGTTGTTATAGGTTATGTAAGTTAAGTTTTCATGCAACATGAAGTTAGATTGCTTTATAAAGGGGCGCTGGAGCGAGGAGGCACTCATTTCGATTCAACCTATGATGTCGGACGTTGGCAACAACGGTACAGTCGAGGAAACTTGTTTGGTCGATATGGACGCTTGCTATGAAACGTTCGACAAAGATGGGTATGTTCATTCATCGGCGTTTCTCATTCACATTATTACAAAAAAAAAACTATAGTATATGTTATATTTTTTTTTACTAATTCCAATTAATAAAAACTTTTTAAAGAAGTACAGAAAACTTTTTTTTACACTTAGTCTGTATAACATTCTTTTTCGTTACAAATCATTTTTTATTATATTTTTCGCACTGTATATATTTATTTTTAAAACAACCTTGAGTGTCAGAACTTATATTGATTACTCCACTATGCACATTACACTTAATATCTGGTGGTTTCACTATATAATCCAAATAATATAAATGAGAAAGTGTGTCTGTTTACCTTAATCTTGTATTAGACTGGCTGAACAGTAAAATGGTAATGAAATATGAGAATATTGGCCATCTTTTATCTCAAATAAAGCACTTGAAGATGTTTATTTATTTTATTTGAATTTTCATTCAATAACTTATATTAAGTTGTATAAAGTGAAATGAGTTATATTATATCAATTTATATAACTATATTGACCCATATTATATGTGTATATATATATATCTTAAAAACTAATACAATATATAGAAAGTAATAAAATAATAATATTGTTTCTAAGATCACTTCACTCACTACGAGAGTCTGCCGCTGTAGCACCAGTACACCACCAATATATGAGATGGTGCTAAGTACCCAATACATAGAAAACTCATTTCACAGTGTTTGTTATCAAACTCTTCTAAAACTTGACCTAAGAAATGATTTTGGTGTAGACACATATTAACACTTTTTTTTCTTTTTCAATAATTTATATTGGCAATCCGTTTATTTTTTAAACAATAGTCCAATCTGATTTGTCTTTTATTTCTTAAATACAATAGAATAGAATAGAAAATCATTTATACAAATAAACTTAATTTAAGCACTTTTGAATAATAGTAGAATGACAATCTTTTTAATGTGTCAAATAATGAGGCACTTTCTTGGATGTCATATCTTTTAAGTCGAAAGAATGTTAGACACCTCAATCCCTGCAGTTGTGACAGAACTTGTACTACCTGTCTTGAGTTACATTCTAGGGGTCTGAGATGAATGATGAATGTCCATTGCACGTATGTGTAAGACTTTGCTCAGTAAATATAATTTAACAGTTGTTTCAAAATTATTGAATTGCAATTGTAAATTAAAATATAACATTATTATAATTTGTGAGCAGGGGAAGGTTTACCCCTGAATGAGATCTCTTGCAGCCAAACTAACTCTGTGGGATACTAGTGGAAATTAACAAACAATGGTAGTGCAGTGTTAAATATACATTTAACTCTATGAGAATAAAGCTTTTTAAATACACATTAGAATATGCTGTTGTCTCTAGAACACTGCACTACCATTGTTTGTTAATTTCCACTAGTACCCCACAGGGTTAGTTTGGCTGCAAGAGATCTCATTCAGGGATAAAACTTCCCCTGCTCACAAATTATAACAATGTTATATTTTAATTTACAATTGCAATTCAATAATTTCAAAACAATTAACAGTTGTTTTGAAATTATCATATTTACTGAGCAAAGTCTTACACACTAAATGATTACTTAAATGACGAGTGTGAATTGCAATAGTTGTTCATGCACGGGATTTTCAGTTAATGTTAGACATAGACACCTATATAAATATACCTACAGTGTAAATAAACTGGCTATTAAAAAAATCTTTCTAAGAGTTTCTTGCCAATTCTTCTCAATTGGATCTATATACTGAACTGGATGGTAGGAAAATTTTATAATATAAAAAATTTGATGTTCATAAGCGGCTAAAATGTCCTACATGAATAAATTATTTTTATTATTAATTTTAATTTGGTTATTACATATAACAATTGAATATAGTGTATGGGAAGCAGCAAATGGCTAAAACGATGATCTCATGTGATGCCGTAATGAATCATAAGTAATTGTGTACACAATAAACATTTGATGTAACATTAATAATCTTGGCAGTATAATATTACAAGTAATTATACAGCACTGAATTTTTAGTTTCATTCTTATATACCAACTAGCTTTTGCCTGCGGCTTCGCTCGCGTTAATTTATCCCCTTAGGGGTAGAATATATCAAAATCCTTTCTTAGGGGATGCCTAGGTCATAGTAGCTTTAGGCATGCAAAGTCTCAGCCCGATCGGTTTAATATTGACAAAGTTTCATATAAACTTTCATCCCCTATTTTATCCCTTTGGGGGTAGAATGTTAAGAAAGGACTTTGGTTAAATCCTTTCTTAACGGATCGGTAGATGTTATGACGTAAGACGTTGAGATTTACTAATTGTGGAAGTGTATAGTAGGAGTAAGTACTTATAAAAAAAAGCTATGTATTTGCAATAGTTATCTAGTACCCATAACACAAGCTTTAGCTTAACTTAGGTCTAGATGGCGCTGTGTTATTTACACAACGTCATTTTGAGATTATTATTATTATTAAATACCTCGTGAATTGACCACGATGTGCTAACAGATCTGATCTCATACTCAATTTATCATCTTCCACTGGTGCCCCGCCAGCGTAATTATTGAGATTATTATTGTTATTAAATTCCTGGTGACTTTGCCACGATGATCTGATCTCATACTCATTTTATCATCCTCCATCGGTAGTTTGTATTCACACACTTAAACTTACTTAAATTGTAAAGTAAGAATAAAATTATTTAAAAGAGCAACACGCAAGTTTCTTGCTCGTTCTTCTTGTGATGAGACAGCTTTCCGAATGAGCGGTAGATTAAAAAAAATGTGATGACTATTCAAAAGTGCTTCAATGTAAGTTTATTTGAATAAATGATTTTCTATTCTATTCTATTCCATTGGTGCCGATTATATATATATATTTGTTACTAGTACTACTGGTATATATGTGTATTTGTTGTATTGTACTCATATATATACTGGTGCCACGCCAACGCATACCCTTAACTCAGGCGGGTGCACAATTCCTTTATTTTTTTTTATTAGACGAATAAAAAAAAATGTGCACCCGCCTGAGCTAACGGTACGCGTGACGAAATAATGAAAAAAAAAATTTATTTTATTGGAAATATTTATTGAATATTTTTTTTTATTATTCGTCTAGGGATGGGAAACTCAATTTCGAGGAGTTCCGGCTGATCTGCAAGGCCCTGTTTCGTAATGACAAGGGTCACATATATCCATTAGCTGAAGATCGCGCCCGTCACATCTTTCAGGTGTTCGACAAGAATTCAGACGGTTATGTCGACAAGGAGGAGTTCACTTTCTGCTGGAACCACTGGATAAAGGTGGTGCGTAATTTTTTTAAATTAATAATTAATTAATTAATCTTAATTCTTAATCATTACATAGTATAAGACAGTCACTGTCGCTGTCCGTCCCTATGTATGCTTAAATATTTAAAACTATGCAACGGATATTGAAGCGGTTTTTTTAATAGATAGAGTGATTCAAGAGGAAGGTTTATGTATAATACATGTACACCCGGGCGAAGCCGGGACTAATAGCTAGTAATATTATAACGTGAAAGTTTGTGAATAAGGATGGATGTTTGTTACTCTTTCACGCAACTACTGAACGGATTTTGATGAAACTTTACAGTAATATAGCTTATATATAAGAAAGAACCCGCGATCATAGAAAGTAAAGCGGTAAGCTAAACCACCAGTAATAAAAATCGACTCCAAAATATAAAAGAAAAGGATTTTTCTGAAAATATACTATTTGAAAGTTTTTTTTAATCAATTCATAAATGACAGAGTTACGAAATAACAAACCTTCAATAAATGAAAAAAAAACAGTATCGTTAAAAACTTCCTCCTGTTTTGAAGTCGGTTAAATAGCGAAGCAATTTTTATTGCTTACTTGCAATTCACTTGAATCGTTTTGTCTGATAAGCCGCTAGTCATAATCATTGACTCATTTAGTGAATTTACTTATGTTTATTTGTTAAACATATGTTTCATCATTGAATAATATGTATTCATATATATATACAGACAAACTTGCTGTCCCCAAGTATCGTTTATAAAAAGTTAATAGGTCTTTTATGGGAATAGGTATAAAAATTTAGAATAGAATAGAATAAATGATTTTTGAATTTTGAATTTTGAATTTTGAATTTTATATATATAGACAAGACAATATAATCTCAAGACAATTCACACAGCGCCATCTAGTCCCAAGCTAAACTGAACTTGTGTTATGGGTACTAGACAACTGATATAAATACATTTTTTTTGTAAATACATAGAAAACACCCGGACCGATACAAACTATCATACTCTTGAATGCACAGTTTGCACCGTGCGAGGAATCAAACCCGTGATAATCGGAAGTAAAGCACACCACCAAACTATATAAAAAAACTAGTTGTTACAGGCAATTTCGTCCGCCTAGAAATTAACTTCTTTTTTACTACAATATATAATATTTCTAAAATAACAGTAGCTTAAGTTACTCCTTATAACATTAGCTATCTGCGAGTAAAGCCCCGTCTAAATCGGTCCAACTGTTTCAGAGATTAGCAAGGACAAACAGACAGACATTTTTTTAGGCATTTTTTTCATGTAAGTTCCGTATATACTTCCTGTTCCCGCGACTTCGTCCGCGTGAAATTCAACTTTATATTTCTATAATAAAAGTAGCCTAAGTTACTCCTTATTACAGCAGCTACCAGCTGCCAAAAAAGACCCGTCAAAATAGGTCCAGCCATATCAGAGATTAGGCGGAACAAACAGACAGACAAAAATTGTAAAAAATGTTATTTTGGTGTATGTACCACATTTATATTCATATGCACGTAGTAAAAAACGGTAATTTCAATATTACAAACAGACACTCCCAATTTTATTTATATGTATAGATTATTCATCAAGAAGAATGTTCAAAAAGAAGAGTATGTTTAGATATGACGACCGATAGAGAGCAGTGGAAGAGAATGACATACTGCGCCGACCCCAAATAATGGGATAAAAGCAAGGCAATGATGATGATAGATTATTCATCAAAGAATCCCTTTCAGATAGTGCGACCGGTGAGCGCTTTCCTGATAGTGGACGTGCAGAATGACTTCATCTCTGGTACCCTCAACATCAGCAAGTGCAACGCCCAACAGGACGGCAGCGAGGTCAGTTCAATTTATAAATTACTAATGACCCGTCCCATAAATGTCAAATAAAACACTTCCTTTGCAAAAAAGCTTACTATAAAATTGAAGAATTCGTTAACGATAATAATGTTTTTGAAGAAAAAATTTTAAATACATAGCACTGACAATATTATCTGATTACACTAATAATGAGTGCGTACACATTTCTATGTTGATTGTCGCATAGATTATTTACTTGTTACACTGTAATTATATATATAAAAAAAAGATCTATTGAAAAGAGCAACACACAAGTTTCTTGCTCATTCTTCTTGTGATGAATCTGCATTCCGAATGAGTGGTAGAATCAAAATATGACTATTCAAAAGTGCTTGTAATGAGTTTATTTGAATAAAGATTATTTCTATTTCTATTTCTATTTCTATTTCTATTTCCCGGCGTTGGTTGAGTTTCTCGGCTTGTTCTATACTATAACACGCATGTTATTATACATATAGACCTTTCTATCATTCTATCTATTGCTGAAAACTGCATTAAAATCCGTTGCGTAATATAAAAGACTAACTGTGCCGGTAGTTTCACCCGCAGGCAATTTATAGACTATATGTTATTCTGATGTTATGTCAGTGTTATGTGATGTCTGATGATAAACTATATAACTGTAAAGTTTCATCAAAATCCGTTCAGAAGTTTTTGCGTGAAAGAGTAACAAACATCCATCCATACTTACTAACTTTCGCATTTATAATATTAGTGAGATATACGAACAGACAGCGAATGCGTCTGCATTTTATACTTATATATTTGTAACTAGCTACTCGCCCCGACTTTGCACGGGTGTAGGTACTTGTATTATATATATAAACCTTCCTCTAGACTCAATCTAACTATTAAAAAAAACTGCGTCTAAATCAGTTGCGTAGTTTTAAATATTTAAGCATACATAGGGACAGACAGCGACAGCGACTTTATTTTATACTAGCTGTTTCCGCGACTTCGTCCGCGTGGAATTTAACTTTATTTTTCTTTGTAAATTAAAATACAAGTAGCCTAAGTTACGCATTATTACATCAGCTCATTTCAGTAGCCGGAACAAACAGTCAGACAGATAAAAATGGTAAAAAATGTTATTTTAGTGTATGTATCGTATATTCATATGCATGTAGTAAAAAACAATGATATGAAAATTGATGAAGTATATAGATTAAATAAATGTTTCAATAAAACGACTACTGTAGTAAAAAACGGTTATTTCAATATTACAGACAGACACTCCAATTTTATTTATATGTGTAGACTATGTAATGATACACTAGTAAAGTGATAAAGAATAAATTGTATTCAAAACTACGCAAATGCTAAGTAGAATTTTATCTATTAATAAAGTGATATTATTGATTAATTAAAATTATAGGAACATCAAATACTTAATACAAGTATGTGAGAGATATGAAAAATAAATGTAAATATAATATTATCTAAGCCAAGAGCCCTTCAAATAGAAATACATCGCACTTGCTTGCTTCTTCAGAAATGGATAAGACGGACGCAATATATAAATAGTGCCAGTTTTTAAACTTAGGATAATTCGCACAGCGCTAGTCCCAAGCTAAGGGGGGGCGTCCAGTTACGTGAGATGTTTAAGGGGGGGAGGGTATCAAGTCAAATCTCATCTAATTGGAGAAGGGGATCCCGGCAAATAACACGCAATTTTTTTTCTGATGTAAATAAAAAAAAATATATACTATATTGGTCGATTTAATCCAGATTGTACGTGCTTGGACGGCAGATGATTGGCTTTGATCACGAGTTATGACACCAGTCATCTTAGTTAATTAAAGGAGATGGATTGGGGACATCAATTTACTAAGATAGTTGAAACCAAAAGAGAATTGGATAACGCTCAGCAATATTGATTACTAGTCTTAACTAGTCGTAAATAAAAGCGCGAAGTAATTTCTTTTCTTTTTACAATAACAATCCAGCGCGTTGAGAAACCCACATTTTGAAAAATCTCACGTGAGATTGTGGGATGGGGGAGGGGTTGAATAAAATATCACGACATCTCACTAGAGGAGGAGGGAGGGACAGAAAAATCAAGGAAACACGTCACCTTTTCTATTCTATTCTATTTTGTTTAATTCCGCTACAGTTATCATGTGTGAGACCACAAATATTCGGTGTGGAAACTTTACTACCGTTACGACCTTCTCTAACAGCGATCAAATTTGATTTTGACGACCTCGGTGGTCTAGCGGTCTGGCACACCGCTTTACGACCGATGGTCGCGGGTTCGATTCCTCGCACGGTACAAACATTTGTATTCATGAGTATGATTGTTTGTATCGGTCTGGGTGTTTTCTATGATAATATGTATGTATTTACAAAAAAAAATCTATGTTTTTGTATCAGTTATCTAGTACCCATAACACAAGCTTTAGCTAGCTTAACTTGGGACTAGATGGCGTTGTGTGAATTGTCCTGAGATTAAAAAAAAAAAATCAGACCGTTATTGAGTCTACAGCAATATTGCGACACGTGTTTCGCCTCTGAACGAGGCGTCATCAGGCGTTGAATAGAGTTTGGATACAGCTCGGAAGCTAGTGTTGACTGTTCGGTCAGAATAACAGTCTCCTTATTACATCTACCTGCCAAAGAAAGTCCCGTCAAAATCGGTCCAGCCATTTCAGAGATTAGCCGGAACAAACAGACGCGGTGATTTTTTTTAAAGGATGCAAATGGAATGGTACACCCACCCGCCAACGGTTTACACTGGTGGGGCACCAGTGGAGGAAGATAGTATGAACATGAAGTCAGATCAGTTAGCCCAACGTGACAAATTCACCGGGAATGTATCACGATGGTTTCCAGGGGGAACCGCGTGGAGGTCGACCTGACATGGTACATTGCTAGCAATGGGATGATCAGTCCACATCACTAACAATGCCCTTCCCCCAGACGCGGGGATTGAACCTGCGACTATCACCATGTGAGATAGTATATTAAAATACTGCACCACTATGGTCCTCCGCCCTAATAATAATGTTTAGGATAGGAAATATATACAGTTTTTTTTTATAAATATACGAACTGAAATGATGAATGCGTAACCTTCGATGACGTCAACTCCAATATTTGTGTAATACAGTAAAATGGCATAGTAAGCGATAGGGTTGTCGTTTAGACGTATCTCGGCCCCGGTGGTCTGGCGGTTAACACAGCTTTTATTACGATGGTCGCGGGTTCAATTCCTGGCATTCATGAGAATAATTGTTTCAAAATGGTATGTATTTTTAAAAATGTATCTAAGTATAGCAGTTGTATATATAAATACATACAATATTTTTTTAAATATAATTATTTGTACTGTGCAAGGAATCGAACTTGCGATCATCGAAATTATAGCGGTGTACTAAACCACTAGACCATAATGGAACGGTGCACCTGCTTGCGCTATCGGTTTACGTTTATGTATCTTATTTTGGTCTATCTCACGGGAGATCAACCTGACATAGTACGTTGCCAGCAATGGCACTAAAGTTTCATATTTGAACATCCACGTAGACGACTTTAAAAATCACATATCCTTTTTTTTTGACTTGGAGAAAATCCCTCTTGGAGACCCGCCCGCCCTGGCGGAGGCAAGTGGGTACTGTGAGACTCCTACTCACTAAAAACTCCAATATGTCCCTCACCTATGCCGGAGTCGCGGGATCGAAATCAGTCCACCGCGACAACGACGGCGGTGGCCCACTCTAGCAGCGGGCCCCAGCTCTGCGGGTTCTTTAGCGGAACCCATTACTTTCCCCAAGTTCATAGGGCCTAGAACAACTGTCAGCCCTAGCAATAGATGAAGACACACTACCATAATAAACGACTTGTAGATAGGTACATATTGTCGTGTCTGAGACCAATATCGGTAATATTAGCATAACAGAACTTACCGCATGGGTTCATTATAGAGCCGCATTTAGGAGCCGGCCAGGGTTGACAAATGTTCGCAGTAATCAAATTACCTCGGAGGCGTGCACGTACCCACATGCTTCTATAATTGAGTAGGGCGACTTAGGTCGCCCTAACAATTAATGGCCACCCACACACTTCTATAATACAATTGAGTAGGGCGCGAATTAGGTCGCCCTAACAACGAGTGGCAATCATCATCTCAACGCGGAAGAACGTCCACTGCTGAATAAAGGCCTCCCCCAAAGATCTCCACGACGATCGGTCCTGCGCTGCTCGCATCCAATGTCTTCCAGCGATCTTGACCAGCCCATCCACACGCTTCTACAATTTAGTAGGGCGTGAAATAGGCGCCCTAACAATGAGTGGCCATCCACAAGCTTCTACAATTAAGTAGAGTGCGAAGTAGGTCGCCCTAGCAATGAGTGGCCATCCACAAGCTTCTACAATTAAGTAGAGTGCGAAGTAGGTCGCCCTAACAATGAGTGGCCATCCACAAGCTTCTACAATTAAGTAGAGTGCGAAGTAGGTCGCCCTAACAATGAGTGGCCATCCACAAGCTTCTACAATTAAGTAGAGTACGAAGTAGGTCGCCCTAACAATGAGTGGCCATCCACAAGCTTCTACAATTAAGTAGAGTGCGAAATAGGTCGCCCTAACAATGAGTTGCCATCCACAAGCTTCTACAATTAAGTAAGGTGCGAAATAGGTCGCCCTAACAATGAGTTGCCATCCACAAGCTTCTACAATTAAGTAGAGTGCGAAATAGGTCGTCCTAACAATGAGTTGCCATCCACAAGCTTCTACAATTAAGTAGAGTGCCAAATAGGTCGCCCTAACAATGAGTGGCCATCCACAAGCTTCTACAATTAAGTAGAGTGCGAAATAGGTCGCCCTAACAATGAGTGGCCATCCACAAGCTTCTACAATTAAGTAGAGTGCGAAATAGGTCACCCTAACAATGAGTTGCCATCCACAAGCTTCTACAATTAAGTAGAGTGCGAAATAGGTCGCCCTAACAACGAGTGGCCATACACAAGCTTCTACAATTAAGT